TTATTGCAAAAAAAGATGGGATTATAATTGATACCAAAAACCTATGCCACATTAGACAAACGTCACAATACTAGGATATTTTGACGCGGATTAAACTTAGAAAAAGTCACAAGCATAAGAAATTATGAAAATCAATAAGGAATACGTAAACAAACCTTTGAGTAGAACTCGATGTCTTCGCGCTCAATATCCTTTATCACCATGATTTTCATTTTAGCGAGGAAATGTAGTGATAGTTCATTAACAGCGTCCCTTCAAACGAAAACCGTGATGGAAACGGAACTCGTTCCGAAAAGTAAACCGAATTCACTGAAATAAATCAAACCTGAGGATGCTCTTCTGAATTAATAGAACATTGCACCCGGCCTTCTTAATTTGCTTGCACAAATCAAGCAAATACTGGCGTTCTTCCTTGAGAGCACGATCCATTTGCGTATAATCAGAGATTATTACCTGGTTCTCCATCTGAAAAGCTAGTGATAGAAGCTACATGAGAAAAGAATTGAATTATTCTTACATCTGTTTTGGGTGGACTAAGTTGGAACTTGAATTAGGCCAATTTTAGCTTTTTCCACGCGAGTTGGCCCTCCACGTCCCATGGTCTTTTGATCAATCAGAGCTCCATCAATCATTTCAGACTCCTAGAACACACAAAGCGTAGATTTGCTTCAAATCTTCCTTAAAATATAATCGAAACACGCAGTAGTCACCTCCACGGTATCTCCCATCTTCTTAATTATCTTGATCATTTTCAAATTCACAGAAGTGTCGCGAGTGGGGTCGATGATACGCTTCACAGCATTCACTGCCATTGGCGCTAGTAGCCATGAATGCTGAGAGACAACCTGAAAATAGAAAATTTTGCCTAAACGATTTAGCATTCTGTTGACGAGAAAGTAAGGGCTGGGAAACGGCACTAACGAAATGCAAATCAATCACTATGCGTTGAAAAATGCGTGAGCTGGGCAAATGAAGGCAGGTACCGCGATGGCTGGAGGGCGGTGCGGCTTTGATGATGTCACTGGACGTACTGATGGCTAGATTCCTCACAAGAGAGGTCCTTCAGGGCGCGATGCACTTTCTCAAACAGTTTTCAACATGCTGCAGAAACTCACACGAGCACTACAAAACCGAGGTCCATTATCATTATCCATTGAGCGGACCCTGAAGGCCAAAAAGTGGTGAAGAAATGGTCCCAGGTTCAACTCCCGTGATGACAGAATTTCTGCATTTTGCGTTGGAGCTTCCAAATTTGCTACAAATGGCGTCAACGTCAAGAACAAGTGTCATTTTAATCACAAGGGCAATCAGTAATTCAAATATGAGGTTTCACTGAAAACTGATGGCGCCAGAACGGCAAAGGGGCGTGATGGAGCCTTCGGTGAAAAGGAACCTGATATTCAATAAGGGTACTGAACTCCCCCAAAAGTACAAATTACAAAGAAAAATCGAGAAGATGGCCTATTTCAAAAAATTGGCCATTGATAAACAAGCTGATAGCCAGGACACCACAAGGGTGACTTGAACACATAATTATCATCATCCAATACAGAAGAGTGGAACGAAGTGGAAAAAGTCGTTTCAAAATGGACCCTGGCAGATACTGAAGGAGTTGAGAGATGAGGAGGCTCACAAGATGCTATATTCGCCAAATTTTAATCTCCGTCAATGAGCGACAGATTGGGCTGCAAGATCATTCACTCGCTTGGCCTTTTCACGAAGTTCAAGAAGGGAGATGTTTTCCAAGGAACGGAACTTGGTTCCCGCCATGAATCAGAAGGCTATACGCTCGTTTTTAGCGTCGCGTTCATCTTCAAGTCGTCCGCCGCCATGATGGGCGTCATCTCATTTTTACCCAACCTACCCTTTCTCGAGTTAAGTCAAAATCACGATTTTCTCCACAAGTTTGCCTGTAGAGGTAAGTTAAGGCCTCAATTGCAAATGTGACAGAACACAGCAGCAAAAGCACAAAACTCACTTCTAGAGATTACTGATGGCTCTGATTTTGAACATTACATCTATTTGCGCAAAATCGATTTGGAGTTGGAGGTGGCAACCAAAAATGCAAAATTGTGCAAGGGAGTGGAGTCAAACCACATACTCTCCCCTTTACCTGCCAATGGAAGTACACCCAACCACCAGGCCGCGGCGGCTGGATGCCAACGGCCCTTACGAAGCCTCTACCCCTTTTTTAGTACGCACCATTGGCAGCACTTCACTTCTGAGCAAATTTCTCGTTGTTTTCGATATCGTCGTTTGAGGCACCTAATATGCGAGGAATCGTCGCTGTTCCTATACGTCTTCGTCTCCAAAGCCGTGAATGCACTCACTCTGAACAATTTTTTTTACGATCATGCGATTTTTCGACCTTTAGGTGCACTAGTAGTGAGAGCCAATAGCAAAAAAAGCATGCAAAAACCA